GACACCAGAGAACAAAAAATCTGTTTCCTAAAATAATGCGGATGAAAAATGAATTCAGCTAAGTAGTACACAAGAGGGGTGTTGTTGGAGTCTTTGAGAGTTTCTTGTCGTTTGCTATCATAGATTAGGAATAGGATCTCTCGCCGCAATAATAAACCAATGTTGATCTTGAAAGAAGTAGTTAAGGCTTCTGGCAACAGCTCCTACGCCTTTTCTGGGAAGAATAACTTCCACAAAACATGATTTATTTCGGTTCACGCAGTTATGTTTAGCAGAAACACTAAACCATAGCCTAAAAGCTATTCCTTCACGACTACGACACAATCAGTATCGTATCCCCAGTACTATTTTAGCGGAGATTATTTATATGCCTGAATTCACTAGAAATGAAGCACCTGCTGCAAATTCGAACACTAACAGCTTGTAAATCAATCTTTCTAATTTGTTTTATTCCCTAAACATGGTTTTTTTCGTTTCACAAAGAACTTTGTAATATGTACAGTGTATAAGGAGTCGACCATACGCCATATAGAGCTTTGATTTTTCAAAACGACTTATTAATCAAGGACGCTTGAACGAATTTTTGTAGGTAGTTTCAAAAGCATTCATACACCATTTTATTCTAGCAAGTTTTTGCTGGGGCTTAAATAGAGCGCCAAACAAGGGTAACTTGCTTAAAAAATAAGAGGTTACCGTGACTTTTTTGTAAAATTTTTAATCCTTGCAAATAAAATATGCACTTGTACTTCTTAGAGGCTGCTGATAAAATTACCATGAGAAAACGGGCTCATTATTGTAAAAGGGGCTCTAAAGGAACACTTCATTTTATCTCTGCAAAGCTCTGAAGTTTTCGCAACACTTGCAATAAGTATGGAGGGTTTACAGAGCACGAGTTTTGCTTGCTAATAGAAAGAAAGGAATCAACGTTAGACTCGCAATCCATGCTTCAACATACATCTGATGTCACAGCAAAGACTTTTGATTGAACCATAATGGAGTTGAGAAACGCGCAACAGATCTCCTACGAGAGAGTAACGAAGTTAGAGACGTTAAACCAAACCGCTCAACAGCATGAACAAGCAAGAGTGGCACACGACGGTTCCTCTGTTCCATTGATAAGCTATGCCTCCTTAAAATGCTTATTCTTTCTATTTTTGATGGAAAAGAATAGATGAGGAGATAAGTTGACAAGAGAGCTTTACTAAGAAATATCATAAAGAGTAAATATTCAAATATTCATGTTGAAACGCCAGTATCAGTTGGAAAACAGGCTTAGAAACACAATGTGTTGAATGCTAGAATAAATGAAAGTTCAAAGTTTGGAGGGAAAGAAGCAAGCTTCGTTTCATAGCTGGTG